AAATTTAATACAAAGCTTCTACTGTATTGTTACAATGGCATTTGAAAAATATTAAAAATCCTTAGTCACAGTTTTTTTTTATAAGCATTTAAAGTTAAAAATATGACAAAATATGGAAAAATCACGAAAATTAGCAAATTATTTGAGTTAAGAATTCGTAAAAATTTTTCTTTTATATCTAAGGTTTTAAAAATGTAATACAAGATATTCTTATAAAATGATCTACCTTTATCAAAAAAAAACTGCTAAAGACACGTCGAATATTAAATTTTTATGAGAGTTTGAATTCCAATTTTTAAACATTGGATATTCACTCGATTTCTCATGTAGCGATTTCTTTATTATGTTGTAATTCAAAACGAACTTAGAATGAACATGTGAATGTTATATCATGTCAATACATCATACATTGAATGTTTTATATTAGCATTTTAAGTAATTTTTTAGTTTTTTTTCTACAAATACAATAAATTTGAAAATATTGAAATATTAAAATATTGCAAGTTTTTTCATGCATTAATTACATTTTGTTAAAAAAATTTTTTGTTACTGTATAATATTATTCGTGGGTACTTGACACTTCTAAAGTACACCATTATATATCTATGATAGTATCACGGTGTGTTATTGATATATAAAGCGTTATAAGTACCTAATGGATATTGTGATATGATTAATTTGGAATTTATTATAGGTACCTATTATAGGTTATTTTTTTTTATTACCATAGATAAGTATATAATATGTCTTATAATACTTAGACTGACATATCGTCTCCGCTCAGAATCGTTTTTCTTATACGATGATATTATATCATTGAATTCAAATTTAATACCATCCATTATACAGTGACCCACTTGTAACCTATTGTACAGCAGAGCACCTTTTTTTAATAGTAAATCTTATTTCAGTTTGACTTTTGTCATAATTTCTGATTGGAAAAATAATGGAATAAATTATACTTCTATACTTAAATAAAAACACAGAATAACTAATGGTGACGGTCCGTATGGAGTGTGGGTGACCCGGTATATATACTACATATACATACGCTTTAGGCATGTATCTATACTCATTCCTTATATATACACACACGCGACACATGCAACACATAAATAATATTCAACACCTCTCCGATCAAACGTTTAGTGGAAACAACACAATCAATTATCAGCGGAACCAGTAAACACCGTATATTATAAAATCGTGAACGCATTCTTTCGTATATATATTCCTATGTATATTTATAGGTGGGTGCGTACACGTATACATATGTATATACTATATACTTCAAGACCTCTTCGATAATTCTCCGGTCAAACGCAATAAATTACCAATAAGAAAATATATCATTACTTTAGTATCACATATTAATCGATGCACATCAGAAAAAAGGATCACACCAAAATCATACTATACAAGGACCATATAGAATCGACTCGTCGTCTGTGCTTTTCCAGAGAAGTCTCAATACACATTGTACACGCCAGTCAACATCGCGACCCACTTACACATAATTATTCGTATATGCTCATACATTAATTTTTGCATTATGAGATTATATGACGTATATTGTGTCATTTGGATATTCAGGTATGATCATTAAGTCATTTGTCTCATATTGGTTGATCAAATATCTTGTTAATTATTATTCTTTATCATCATATCTCTAATTTAAATAATCTATTGCTAGGATAGTGTGATTAGAATATTATAATTATAATTATATTATGTTATATTGGTGTTATAACAGTTCATAGGCTAGGTTGTCGTCGGGTCGTTATCAATATCCGTAAGAGGTGTCCTATAGGTGACGAGATCCAATAATCTAAGGTGTAAAAACAACTCATTAAATAATAATCATATTACACTACGATTTACAAATAAAGTTAAGGAATGTGCTGTAGAATCCATATGACTATATGAGCAATACTCGAACCATATAAATATCATCTAACGAGATATAAGTTAAAAGGAAATCATCTTAGCTTATTGGTGTAAATTAAAGTCATACTTAGCATATATAAGTCAGTGATATCGATCGTCGAACACCACCCCGAAGAAATACAATCCAATCTCAGAAGACAATCATCACAACCCACGCACAAGGTAAGTGATTTGACATATATAATAATATAAATATCATTATTCATTAGGTAGGTATAAGGTATAACACAGTAGTAGAAAGATCTTACGCGGATAAACGAGCAATATAATAACGTAATTTTACACGTTTTACAAATACGTAAACACACACACACACACACACACACACACACACACACACACACACACACACACACACACACACACACACACACACACACACACACACACACACACACACACACACACATACCCACAATCCCTCTTACTAAACAAATAAACCTACTACAACACTACCTAATCACTACCTTCCCCTACCGCTCATTTCCACCCTACTACAATAATATTTTTTGTATTACGCCACATAAAATGAAATAAAATTTGTAATAATATTATTATTTATAACATTTGCAAATACCTATAACATTTAAGATCAGTAACACTTAAATACAAAATAATAGTATGTAAATATCTGTTATTTTTCACTAGATTAATCGGTACGTTTTCAATAGAACACTTCTATAATCCTATGTTGGGCATGTGTTAGACAAATACTTCAAGGCCCCTTAAGAGGACGCCTAACCCGCATACGTTGTCTCCGTTTTACAAGTGCCTAACATAGCAAATTGTACGTTCAGCAGAACACGTGTAGCTCCGTTAGCTTAAAGATAGATTGCATCCAAAAACAGCACACTTTTGATTTCGGCCCCAAAAAGGTCGATAGGCAAAAACTGCACACTTTAACGGTCATGGTATAACTAGACTTATAATGGGTTGAAATCTCACACTATTTTGTGTGCTAAATAACGGATAAGATAATAACTAATAAGATACTATATAATAATCATGCTAGGGGGACGAGGTGGCCGAGCGGTCTAACGCGTCGACTGCGGCGCTGGCAGTCGCGGGTTCGCCTCTCGGCCACTGGGCGGCATTTTTCTCCGGGCAAGTCACGGTGTCCGGAGTACAAGTGCCGCCATCCCCCAACCCGGGGCATGGCAGAAACCTACGGGTGCCCCAATAAAAATTCTGCCACCAAAAACACACACGTGTACCAACCTACCCAATCTAAAAAACCTACAGTTCCCTACCAACACCCAATGGCCTATGTTGCCGCGGGTTATCCAATAAAAAAAAAAAAAAAAAAAAAAAAAAAAAATAATCATGCTAACACATTTTAAGTCTTAATTCTTTAGTCACATATTTAGCCACTCGTTGTTAACCGATCTCGTTTCCCTAATTAGTGGTTAACGCGGAAGTCCCATAATGGAGTGTAAAATACTAAAATATTGTCCTTCCAATTGATAAACAAAAACAAGTTGGTAAATACATAATAGTAATATTTTTGATTTTTGATTAAATTGTATTTATTTTTAGGAGCACGTGTTTAAATATTCAAATCTTAATTGCATAATATATTGTCCATATACATTATAAAGTACTATAGTAAAGACTTTCTTTAAGTCAAAATCATAAGTGTGTGGTTTTTAACATTTTCAACCTAATTTTTTTTTGGTGATATTAATCCTGAGATGGGATTGATTCTATTCCAACTGTGATAGTGTGATAGAGAGATCCAGAGATATTCATTAGAAGCTTTAAAAAATTTTATTTCATAAAAACTTTTTATTATTTTTTAATACATGTTGAACATCCACTGGTTCATTAATGAAAAGTAATACTGATTAGATAAATACTGAACCTAGCTGTAGATAACAGAAAATATCAAAGCACTTATTTATGTTCTGTACACTCATAGTAGCACTAATATCTTGAGTATTAATGTATTAATAATATTAATTCGTCTCATTCACGCATTTGTTGTCTTATAAATTATATGTAAGTAAATAACATTGAAAATGTATGTGATGAGCCTTTCCAGTTTAGTTTCATTAGTTTTAATATTAGAGTAACATGATCAATTATTTACTTAAGATAACGGGGTTTTTTAGTTAAGTTATCGTAAGCGTTTTATTGGTACTTTATTTTTTAAGCGAGTTGTAATTTATAAGCTCAGTGAAGTACACAAAGACGGGGAGAGTGGTTTGGGCGTTTGAACCCAATTGATATTTTTTTTCCTATACTCGTAAGTCGTAAGTATATACAAATGTATATAATTTAAAAAAATATTTTAATGCTTAAACGCATATAATATAGATGATTTTTAATGTAGATCCTTACCATTGAAAATATCTGTGTATATACGAGTACATCGCACATAAGCGTGTAATGCATTAAAATATAGTAGTGCTATGAACCCGCTTCAACATTAAAATATCGAAAAAAACATTTCTACGAATTATATACAATAAATTATTATATCGATACTAACATTTTTATATTTATTTATACAGTAAAACTCGCTTAAGATGCTCTTTAAGGGAACGGAGGGTTTTAAGCGGGAATGAAAAAAAAATTAAGTGATTGAAGTATGGGGTTCAATTTTTATTCTTGAACATAACTTAACAGGCAATACACTAGTAAATTAATTATAATTACACAACATTATACATATATTTATTGCTACTGAATTTAATTTAAAAAAAATTATTATTTAATATTTTATTGTTGATTATTAAAAATGTATATATATTTTTTTGTTTATGATGCTGACAATGCGTTTCAGTAAGAAAGTTTTCTATTTTGTTTAGACAACCCAACATTTCTTCAGAATTTTCTACAGAGGATAATACTTTTCGAATTTCTGATAGGCGTTGCAAACCAGCAGTATTTGAAGTAGTACTCGATCGTCTTGATCTTCTTCTTCTTGATCGTCGTTTTTTTCTAATTCTCCACTAAGCTCGTATCAGCAATTATTTCATCTAAAGTCCGAGTGCTTTATTGTTGACTATTTATCATAAATCGTCATAAGAATTCCGAAATAGGTATAAATTATGTACAGGTAAGTTGTCAAACATATCCAAATATTGAATCTAGTAAGTATTAACAATCTTTATTTTTATTCAAGTGAAATACCAACGACAGATAAGAAAGGAGAACGTGATCGTAATCCAAGATCTAATGCAAATATTTTTGAAATCTTCACATTTAGGTAATTTTAAATAACTCGTTTCAGTCAATTTTGGTCGTGTGAGTAAAATTGTAAGTTAATAATATGACAATAAATAAAACAAGAGGGAAAAGTTAAATTTTCCATCTATTTTATTGTAAAAATAAGATAGGTGTACATTGTAAAAATACACGATTTGGTAATTGAACCAATCTTTGGTGTTCAATAACATCAATGTAAGTAACAAATTAAAGAAATGTATCAAATTCTCGTAGAAAATTGTACCTATCAAACTAATTTGAATTTCTGTAACTAATTATGGACTTCAGGGTTATTTGAACTAAATGGTATATAAATATGTGGTAAATAAATAATGAGGCGGGAGTCCCTTCTCATTCATGAAAATTATGTAGTAGTGGGTAGCACATATATGTGTAATCAACAGGCAATACATTCAGAGAGCATGGAAATATGTATCCGCATTACTCAGTGTATAACTAACTAAAAACACAAAAGGGAAATTTCATTGCTATGAGTACCTAAAGAAATTGAATGTATTCAATTTATTATCGTTTATATAAAATACTAGCTGATCCCGTGCACTTCGTCGCCCATTAAAAATGCCAACTCTATATGAATAATATATGTTTTTTTTATAATTTAACTGTTACCATAACAACAATTTTAAACCAATGGTAACCAATAATTATTATTATTATAGCTTTGAAACCCACGGCAACCATTTATAAACAAAAATTTCCATTGGAAATCTCAAAATCTTTGTTTGAGCACCTGATCCCGGGGTTGGTCCTCTCCCTTTTTAAATTAACATATCTTCTGATCCCGTGCACATCATTTCCCGTTAAAATTGCCAACTCTATATGAATAATATGTTTTACATATCACCATTCACCGTGGCAACCATTTATATACAAAACATTCCATCGGAAATTTCAAAATAATATATATATGGTTGCCATGGTAATATGGACACACACACACACACACATACATTCATTTTTATATATATAGATAAACAATATAAATATTTAAGTAAAATTCTTTTAAATAATTTTTGCAAGTAAAATATAGCAAATATAATGCATTACAAGAAGTGTTGTGTAAATTCATTTTTAAAAGCAATACAATTACGATATTCATTACATTAAATATTTTTATTTAAATTTAATTCGAGTTACCCGACATTTTTTTTATCACGCTTCGTTACTTTTACATTTAAAAAGTAGGGCGTTACAAATAAAGTTCTTTTTTTTTAAATAATTACTAAGTCAGATCATATACCTATAGCTACTACGGACTAATAAGTAATAAATAGTCGATTTACTACATTATAAATAGTATAGAAGCAAGATGGGAATAACATTGAGGATTTAGGTACATTGTTAATATGATTTAATGTTACACATTAACAAAATGTAATAAGTGTTAATTCCTGGGACCTTTAATAATATTGTTGATTATTAACTAAAATATTAGGAATCGTAAATAAATATAATTGATTTTAAATTTCTCTCATAGCCCCAAAATTTGGTCATATGTACATTTTACATTCGAAAATTATTTTAATAACGTGGAAAATAAAAGGTTAGTTTATTGATATAACTTTACGTCTTTACATGTTATTATAAGTGAAATATTATGTTATATTCGAAATTCTTACTTTTATTATGGTTGTATTAGAATATAAGCTTATAATAAATATAGGAATTGAAAACCAATAACTAAAACTGTTACGGTACCTACTTTACTTCTTCAAATAATAATTTTGTAGAACCCAAAATACATATAAATCAAAACTAAATATTTATTTTTTTTTTTTTAAACTTGTAATATATGTATTTACTATTTATCTATGCTACAGCTGGCTTTTAAACCTCTTTAAAACGGGACAAAAGAGAGATTTGGAGAGCAATGATTTATACGATCCACTTAACGATCACAAGTCATCATTATTAGGATTCGAAATTGAAAGGTAAATTTATGAGATTTTATTCTTTTTTAAAAAAAACTGTAACAAATGTTCTTTAATGTTTTCTATGCAAGGAGATGGAAAATTGAAATCGCTAATGCAAAAAATACAAATCGGGAACCTAGTTTATCGAGAGTTTTAGTACGAATGTTTGGTGGAAGTTTTTTTTACTATGGGATAATACAAATGTTTTTTGAAACCGTGTTAAGGTAAATATACGTTTCATTAAATCGTAAAAAATATATTGAATTATATTATCATATTAAATGCTCACTCATATGTATTGTAAGCTTTTGATATTGCTTTAAAATAAATAAAAACGTATTTTATAAAACAAAATTAGGGAGCTCAATCTGCTGTATAGTAGGTAATCAAATACAGGGAATAGTGTGATACATCGGTGTAAACTGCTACGAGCCATGCGTACACTATCTGGTGTAATTCGTAACCGATTTTATTCTAACTTAGACTTAGATCTACTAAGCACATGGTTCCAGGCACCATACTTGTACATAAATCACATGGCGGTGCAATGCCGCCCAAGAATAACCAGCTTATCAACAGCCAGTTCTCCGGACGAAACTTTATATAGAGTGGCTCAAATGATGAAGCGAAATCATTAAAAATGGACATATCTAAAAACACACAGAACACTTCAAGATCAAAACTGGAAAAGTCATGCTTCCCCGGGTAACTCACTGGAATTCCAATGGTCTCAGACAACACATAAACGAACTTCAGCACATCTACTTGAAACAAACTCCGACATTGCACTTATTTCCGAAACCCACTTAACCCCTAATACAAGCGTGAAAATCAATGGCTTCAATGCCTACTTTTCTTGTCATCCTGATGGCACAGCTCATGCTGGCTCTGCAATATGTAAATATTCAAATCCAATATTCACATCAAACATAACCCATCACTACCCCCAACACTACACCCCACATACAGGTAGCCAGTGTCTCACTAGTCGTACCTTATAACATACCTGTCACTGTTTCTGCAGTTTATTGCCCTACTATTATAACTATTTCTCAACCTTGGGACATCGTTTCATCTCTGGAGGCGATTTCAACTCTACAAACCCAGCATGGGGGATTCGTTCTCCCAACACCAAAGGCAGAGCATTGCAGTTATGCATAATCAACAAAAATGACTCATCAATTATTGCTCCCACAGGTCCAACCTACTGGCCCCCTTATATTAACCGACTCCCAGACATTTTGGACATTTTTGTCAAAAAAGTACCTAGTAACATACATAGCGATCTCACCGACCTCTACGACCTTTCATCTGATCACACTCCAACAATAGTTAAAACTTGAATTAAAAGTCTCTCCTTAACAAAGCAAATCTCTTGCCCCAAGTCAACTAAATTGGTCTACCTTTAAAAAAGTAATAAACGAAGATGTCAAACTCACGATCACACTAAAAACACTGGACAACATCAACCATGCTGTCAATCTCCTGACAACCTCTATCCAAAAAGCAGCACTTGAATCAGCAAAACCCTATAACTATACAAACTCAAAAAAACAACCCCCCTATCACATAATAGTATTACTCTCCGAGAAACGTAGAACAAGGAATCCGATGCACACATTTAAGTACCCCAATGGTAACTTAACAAACTGTAGAGCAAGATAAAAAAGACTATCCAAAACGATAGAAATCAATCCTACAATAATTATGTTGAATCACTAATCACAAAAAACTCGTCTCTTTCGAAAGCGACCAAATCTTTACTCCGTCTAAATCAACCTACCCTTCCTCTAAGAAATGAAGACAGCTCATGCAGAATTATTGGCACAATACCTAGAAAACTCTTTTTCTCCTCATGATACCCAACTAAAAATTGTTGAAAACTACCTTGAAGCTCCCCTACCAATGAAATTAACACCATAGCTAAAAAAAATACATGCCAAAAAATCCCCAAATCATGACCTAATCACGAATTATATTGTAAAAAACCTACCACGCTAAGCCATAGTATACCTATCTCACCTTTATAACAATATACTCAGATTATCTTTCTTTCCAAGCACCTGGAGGTACTCCATAGTAATACTCATTCTCAAGTCAAACAAACCTCCTGAAAATCCAGCATCATACACATCGATAAGTCTTTTCCATACATTCTCAAAAATCTTCGAAATAATTCTCTTAAAAAGACTCATCCCCTTTGTCCCTGCAGCTATATCATTCAGAACACCCAATTTGGCTTCAGAGTCCATCACTTGGTTATCCACCAACTTCATCATACTGTCTATAAAATATCCAACATATTGGAGAAGAAATAATTCTGCCGCACTGTGTTTCTGGATGTCTCACAGACCTTTGATCGAGTCTGGCATGAAGGGCTACACTTCAAACTAAAAAAGTTTCTCCCAGCACCATACTTCTTATTACAAAAAAAAAAATACCTATCTGACCGTCTCTACAAGGTTTGTCTCAAAAACAGCTATCATATCAGCGCAGGTGTCCGCCAAGGTAGCGACATCGATCCCTTGCTCTATTCTGTGTTCACCCACGACATCCCCAAAACACCCTATACTTTCCTTGGTACATATGCCGACGGCACTCTGATTTGAGGGTCACACCAGGATTCCCAACTGTGTCGGATAAGCCAAAGCTGCTTAAATATGATTAACTTATGGACATAACAGTATAAAATAAAAATCAATGAAAACAAATCTACTCATGTAACTTTTACAATGTGCAAATCTGTTTGCCCTCCTGTCACGTTTAACAACAAAGTAATTCCTTCATCAGACAAAGTAAAGTACCTAGGGTTATATTTGACAAACACCTTGACTGGAGATTGCATCTTAAACAAAAACGAAAATCAGTGAACTCTAGACTGCATCTTCTGAGACCTCTACTAAAATCAAAACTTTCTCAAGCCAACAAATATATACAAATCGGTAGTTCGTCCAGGCACGGCTTTACGGGATCCAACTATGGGGGGCCATTAAAGGCATCAAACACTAGAACCTTGCAAGCATTCCAATATATATGCTTACGCTTAATAACCACTGCCCCTTGGTATGTAACAAACAAAAATCTTCAAAAAGACCTGAATGAACCTCAAAAACCTAGCCAAATCAGATAACATACAATTCCACTCAAAGCTTCACGTTCATTCAAATCCACTAATTAAAAGTATATCCTCTAACTCCATCATCCGTAGAAGATACAAAAGACAATGGCCAAGAGACCCGTAAAAAAAAAAAATCTAATTTCTTGTCAGATGGCACTGCTGGGAGTCTTAATACTTTGAAATTAATGTTCCTATGTCAAATGTTATTTTATGTCACCAAACTTACTCATTATACCTGTAGTATTGATTGTAAATATATTTTTAAATAATAATGAAGAAAAAAATAAAAATAAAAAAATAAATTCTCAATATATAGCCTAGTTTTGAGTGTACGTTATCATTGACTCACTTACCGAAATGAATTTGTTAAATTATAATTCAATAATAAATTATTGCTTACAAAAATAATTCTAAGCTTATTGAAAAAAAATTGAAGATTATTCACTATTGTCTTAAGAAAATCATATCGGTGCTTTTAATATAATGTGAGTAATGATGATGAGAGTGAACTTTTTATAGAATGACTCAACCTTTACTCATTGGTGGACTATTAGCATATTTCAACCACGGCGGACCCAATATCATAGATTCTAAACATGCATACATGTATGCATCCGGTCTGTTGTTAAACATGTTAGCTAACATAGTGTTATATCATTATTCGCAATTGGAATTGGGACACATTGGAATGAAGATCCGTGTTGCTTGCTGTTCAACAATATATAAAAAGGTAAATTCACTTATCAAAAATAAATAATTATACCATTAAATTATAGTAAGTTATTGTATCAAGAGTTATTAATTATAAAAATATCATTAATCACAATTGGGTTCACATAAAATCAAATACAAAAAAATTAAGTTATCTCAGACTTTGTTACTGAGTATCAAATGTTTTATATGATTTATTATAAATTGCTTGTCATTGTTATTTTTGGAGCTATTCCTTATACTTTATTGTGCATACATATAGGCATTAACGTTAAGTACAACTTCTCTCTGTGAAACCACAGTCGGTCAAGTAGTAAATTTGATATCAAATGACGTAAACCGATTTGATATAGCATTAAGATTTATACAATTCTTATGGATCGGACCTCTGCAAACTATTTTGGTCACATATTTTTTGTGGCAAGAAATAGGTGTATCGTCAATAGTTGGAGTGACTGTATTTCTCGCGTTTGTTCCATTACAAGGTACGTATGAAAGCAATTGTCATTTGTATCATGATAACGTATTTTAAATATGGACATTTTTATTTTCAGGATGGTTGGGGAAGATGACGTCTGACTATCGGTCAAAAATCGCATCAAGGACTGACGAAAGAGTAAGACTAATGAACGAAATAATATCAGGCATACGAGTTATCAAGATGTACACATGGGAGAAACCTTTTGCATTGCTTGTACAATATGCAAGAAAGTATGTAATACTGATATATTTAATAGTTACTAAATTAAACAAATGTGAATTTGTTTCGTTACAGAATGGAAATCGAACAGATAAGAGGGACATCGTGGATTAGAGTTTTTTTGCAGTCATTCAGACTATTTAATTTTAGATTTGCGTTGTTTATAAGCATTTTATCATATGTTTTATTAGGAAATTCCATTAACACGCAACAAGTAAATATACAAGTAGAAAACACTTATTACAAACAGGCTTGGCACAAGAATTATTTCCCCTGTGTTACGGACTAGTAAATAGTAGAATATTATTTATTACTAAAGCAGTGTAGTCATTTTTGTCCTGGTCGATCTACAAACATAATCCTAAACTCAACAATAATATTTGGCACTTTCCAAAATCCCAGTGGGGACTGCTGTAATAAAGCGTATTAAATGTTCTGAAACTAAAAAACCATTGGTAATTAGAAACATCTTAGACTAGGTAACATAATATTATATACCAATGAGATATCTAAATGTAATATACTAATAACCTAGTAAAATTATATTATTACCTGTTTAAATATTTATTTTTATTTTCGTATGACCATAGGGAATGCAAATACAGTATAACATATTACATAATACAAATATTAAAAATTGGGTTTGTCTTAAATCAATACTGTTGAATGAATAGTTTAAAAAAGATGGATTTTCGGTAACAATATGTCAGTTATAACAATTTTAATTAATTAATTAATTTGTTCTTTTCGTCGTTGATGTTAAATGTCCACGTCCAGTCTATCTAGTCATAGTACTGCCTCGTCCGTTCCTGCATGTAGATCTTAGAGAGTTCCAGGTGGACCTCCTATTTCCAAATTCATTGACTATCTGATGCATTGCCTGGGCCTCCCCTCGGGAGTCACATCTTTAGTCCTCTTTTAAGCGCCACTTGTGCATAAGTTGGTTACATTGGCCCTGTCCTGTACGTATTCGGTTCAGTCTAGTCCATAATCATCTGTGAGGAAGGGACGACCCTTGTTGTTCTGAATGGACACCTTTGACTAAATTCCCGTTAATAGGGAATATGCATTTACATTCTTCTTGCCACATGGAGGGTTTTAGGCAAAATTCTGCCTTTATTGATTTCACTCTTTCTTATAACGGGTGTCGCGATTCGAGTCTTGGATTCTTGACTTCGTATTCATGGATGGGTAGGTTTGTATTACACGCAATTTTTTCAGCAATCCTCAGTACAGCGTTTTGTCTTTTGATATGTGGAAGTTCAATGTGGGGTAGAACTGGGAGCAATTGCGTTTTTGTAGACTTAACTGTTCCCAAAATTATAAGCATATTTTTCCATAGTTCCACGTCTACAAGGTTGCAGTGATAGCTGCCCTCCCATATTGGGGCGCAGTATTTGGCCCCAGAATATACAAGGGCCATAGATGAGTCCGAAGAACTTGACTGGATGCGCCCCAGGTAGTACCAGTAAATTTAGATATTAACGAGGAGCGAGTTTTAAGCTTAGACTTTACTTTCTTCAAGTCTTCCTTGTATGTCAGAGTACGGTCTACAGTGATGCCCAAATAAACCGGTGGTAGGTCATGTCTTGCTGGTTGGCTGCAGAAGTTTACTGTTAGTTTTTGATTTGCCAACCTAATGTTGAGGTGAAATACGGAAACTACAGTTTTCAATGGATTAGATTTTAGTCGCCACTTCTTAAAGTAATTTTCGAGGATATGCAGATCTTCTTCTAAGGTGTGTTGTAATGTACTATACTCTTTATTTTGTGTTGCAAGATAAATATCGTCAGCGTATACACATTTTTGGGAAGTTGTTTCTTTGAGATCGTGTGTATATATATTAAAGAGTACTGGGGCAAGTACTGATCCCTGAGGAAATTTGTTATTCAGCACCCTTGATTTAATGGTTCGATTTCCCAAGAGCACTCTGAAATTTCTATAACTAAGGCTATTTTCTAGGAATCTAAGCAGAAGTTTACATGAAATTATTCTTTTTTAAGTAGAAATCCATGTTTCCATACCATGTCTTGTGCAGCACTTGGACCAATAAATGCCACACCCATTTTTACGTTATCATTGTACCCTTTTTCCAAGTATAAGGTAATTGCAAGGACTTGGTCACGGCATCCTCTGTTAGGACGGAAGCCGGCTTGGAATGCTGGGATGACGTTTTCATGATAATGGTTCAAGATGCTTTAGAATTATTCTTTCAATTAACTTATACATTACAGAGAGGAGGGATATTGGCCTGTAGTTTTTTAGGTTATCTTCCGATTTCCCTGGTTGAAGGATAGCTATGACGTCGGCTTTCTTCCATTCTTTAGGTGGTTTACCTGATATGAATATGTCATAGTACACAGTTGCGAGTCACTCTAGTGCTTCAGGGCCTAGGTTGTGTAAAAATTCTGAGTGGACTCTGTCTCTTCCTGGCGCTTTCCCCTTTTTAATGTCATCAATTGCAGTACCGAGATCCGCTGAAACGCGTATCAAAACTGGGTGAGGGGTACTGTTGACTGTGGGTCTCATTAGCTCTTTCTTGACTAATTTGATTTGTTCTCTTTCAATTGTACCTTTTGAGTTTTCCACCAGTACTGCAGCTATTGACTGGGCTTTAACTGACACTTAACACTTTCTATTAAGTGAGTAGGACAATAATTGAAACATGAACAAAAGAATTTAGGAGAAAAAAAATAATGAATAATACAGATAAATAAATATTTTTAACAATAGAAAAATTAAGAGTGAGAGTCGAGAGATAACATTAAATATTACAAATATCATATTGATTATAGAATATAAAATTAAATTAAATAAAATAAAATATAAATACAAATATAGCAAAGCATATGAGCGACTTAGATTAATTGCGAAAATAACCAATGATAAACAGTTGGAATAGGTCTTGGGGATCATTGTCAAACATGTTCTTTGATGCCCTGACGATTTGGTTTTGGAGGGAATCGATGTTTTATGAATTAATAATTTTAGTGTTTCTTACATACCAAGGTGACGCTGTTACGGTTCTTAATGATATGTTTTGGACCTCATCGAGACGTCTCCAGTCTCGTTTTGAGATAAGAGCGCCCTAAGATGGTCCTGCGTATGTTAGGTTTGGTATGATGTATAGTTTGTGTAGAGTTAATCTCTGATGGAGTGAATATTATGCAAAAGTTCTTGGAGTTCTAACTTAAGGAACCTAACTCTCCCCCCTCCACCAAGACAAAAACTTAAATACGCCACTGAATAGTAACATATACTAAAATAATATTTTATAACCATAGGATATCTAGTTGTAATAAACTAATAACCTAGTATAATAATATTATAACCTTTTTAAAGATAGTTGAATGATCGTGCATATACTCTATAGTATATTATTAATTCAGTATTTGACTATGGTAAAAACACGTAAAATTGTCAAAATAGTAAATACTCAATTACTCAAAGAAGCATCTATTAAAATTATCAATATTAAAAAAATAATAACTAATAAAATGTATAAATTAGCTCTTATAAAAATAATTAGTGACGTTCTGTAATCTATTACATTTTTCAGTGGGAGGGCTGGAGAGGGGTCTGGAACATTTTTGGGGAGAGAAAAAACTCTTGCTGGCGTCTCTTAATTCATAAAACCTTGCCTAGCTGATAATAAAAAAATAGCCATAGTACACCGATATATATTACCGCGATATATTAATCAATAAATGTACTTCAATAGGTTTTCGTTATAATATCGTACTACAATATATTATTGACAACAATGACAGTATTTTTCCCTCAAGGTGTTATAACACTAGCTGAGATGCTGATATCCATTAAACGCATTCAGGTAAAAAAAATAAATAATTATCTTACAAATATTGAAATATGTGATAAATAATTATTTGTTTTGTTTGAAAAGTCATTTTTACTACAAGATGAAAAGGACAAGCATAATAATCAACTGTTATTGAAATCAGAAACAACATCGACAAATGGCGTAGAAATGTCATACATTAATAGTAAAAATTGTATAGAAAATACAACTGAAAATGAAGAAGGTATCGACAAATTGGAAAATTTTGGAATCGACATTTTAAACGCCTCGGCCAAATGGATAGTTAATCAACCAGATAACTCTTTAAATAATATTAATTTAACCGTTAGACCTGGGAGGTTGGTTGCAATCATTGGGCCCGTAGGAGGCGGAAAAGTATGGATGACCTATATTGTAAATAACACAGTAATAATATGATAAAACTTTACTTTTCATTCAGAGTTCATTGATTCATGCGATTTTACGAGAATTGCCACTTTGCGAAGGTAGTATTTCGGTGCGTGGCACAGTATCTTACGCATCTCAAGAACCTTGGTTATTTAACGGTTCAGTTCAACAAAATATACTTTTCGGTTCGCCAATGGATCATGATCGTTACGAAGAAGTAACATTTTCAAACTATATAACTGATATAATAGGATTTGTTTGTATTAAAAATTGTAAATTTCATGGAAGTTATTTATAGGTTATAAAAGTATGCGCATTGAAAACCGATTTTAAACAACTTCCTTATGGTGACAGATCTTTAGTAGGAGAAAGAGGAGTGTCTCTTAGTGGTGGTCAACGAGCGAGAGTAAATCTAGCAAGGCAAGTAGAAAATTAGTTGTTTATAATTTATAATTTAAATAATTTTTTGTATGGTTTTTTGTTGTTTTACGTTTCTAGAGCTGTATATAAACAAGCCGATATTTATTTATTGGACGACCCTTTGTCAGCTGTTGACACACACGTTGGAAAACATTTATTTGAAAAATGTATTAAGGGTAAGTACATAATGTCTTATGGAGTTATTGTTAGAATACTCATTTGATGATATTATATTTCTAATTTAAAGGTTACCTCAAAGAGAAAACTTGTATACTTATTACTCACCAAATACAATACTTGTCAAGTGTTGATCAAATTATTTTGATGGAAAACGTAAGTAGTCATTTTAGTAACAGTACTAGAATAAAATATGTTTTAATAATAATGAAATGGTTTTTTATTTTTATTTTTTTTTCAGGCAAATATATTAGCCGAGGGTTCGTATCAGGAACTTCAATCTTCTGGCTTAGACTTTACAAAATTACTTAAGTCATCGGAGGAAACAACCACTGATAGTGAAATTAATATAAAAAATGCAATTAATAACAGTTTAGAAAAACTTTCCGATGTATCTCTACGAGGGTCTATTATAAGTGTTGCGTCGTCTGTTGACGAGAACAAATTAAACATAGCTCAAAAACAACCCACCGTGGTGGCTGAAACAAGGTCATCCGGAAACGTTTCACGCAGTGTTTATTTGTCTTATATTTCTGCTGGAGGAAATATTTTTAAAATATCATTTCTATTATTCGTGTGCATTTTTACACAAGTTCTTGGTACTGGTGGAGATTATTGGATAAGTTATTGGTAAAGTACTTGGAATTTCTTTTGCTTATTAATATATTTTAACATTAAATTATTTCAGGGTTTATCTGGAAGATCACGTTTTTCCTAACGCAGAGAGTAAATCTACATATATATCTAACTTTATAACTCACTTAATATCCGATACACCTTGGATAATATCTCGCCAGTTTTGTGTTATAATGTACTCTATTTTAAATTTAACTTTGCTAGTAGTTATTTTCATAAGATGTGCCACGTTTGTATCATTCCTAATGGGCTCATCTATGAATCTACATAACAATATGTTTAACGCTATCACAAGAGCCACAATGTATTTCTTCAATACAAATTCATCGGGTAACAAAATTTCTTAAATAATTATTTAACTGCATGTTTAATAGATAAACAATATACATTTTTCAGGTCGAATCCTTAACCGATTCACTAAAGACATTGGTGCTATTGATGAAGTATTACAATTGCCTTTATTGGATTTCGTTCACGTAATTATATTAAATACATGTTTACTTCACTTAATGTGTACAATAATATAATGTGTAGTTATACAGTATAATATATTTGTTTTTGTATTTATGTTGTTTTACCAGATAGCATTGAAACTTATAGGGACTCTTTTTGTGGTTGGTATAATAAACATTTATCTTCTCATACCAACTTTCATCCTAGGTTTGATGTGTTATTATACTGTTAACTTTTATTTATTGACATCACGTAGTATCAAACGTTTGGAAGGTGTTAGTAAGTGCTGAATTAATTATTCTCATAATGTATTACATAAGAAATATGTTATGGAATTTTTAAACAAGGAATTATTTTATTTTTCAAATATAAAATATAGGCCGAAGTCCCATGTATGGATATTTGAATACATCGCTTCAAGGATTATCTACTATCCGAGCGTTTAAAGCCGAGGATATTTTATGCAAAGAATTCGATGAACACCAAGTAAAGGAAACATACATTACTCAACTATAGTCATTAGTCAAATACTAATAATTTATTTCAAATTTCAAGGATTTACATTCTTCGACTTGGTATTTATTTATTACATCAAGTGAAGCATTGGGATTTTCGTTGGACGTGATCTGTTTCATTTATATATGTATATTAACTTTAAGTTTCTTAATTTTAAATAATGGTAATATACAATTTATTGTATTGAAATTAATTGTATTTATAAACTTAATTAATTTTTAGATTATTTTGGGGGTGATGTTGGATTCGTTTTAACTCAAACAATGAGTTTTACGGGCGCTCTCCAGTGGGGAATAAGGCAATTAGCAGAAATAGATAATCAAATGACGTCTGTCGAGAGAGTACTTGAGTATACAAATGTCCCACAGGAAGCTCCTCTCGAATCTTCTCCGGGTAATATAATCTTAATAGTATAATAGATATAATGTAAATAATCGATTTAATAGAATATGTATACCAATGTAGTTACTTTAAAAAATTTAAATATACAGTATATAATGAGATTGATATATTTAAAATAGTAAAGAGTTTTTATTGTTAAACCTTAATCGTATATTACATTCATTTACTAAGATTAAGGGCCAGTTGCACCATCTATAATTAAACTATGATTAAGCTTAATCAGCTGATAACAGATATTTAAACGGGCAAATTCGGCCGATTAAACTCTGATTAACTATAATCATAGACTGTACAACTGGCCCTAAGGCCATAAACAGCATTAATGTAAATGTTATAAGGTACCTATTTCATGTATAATATTAATAATTTTAAAGTAAATATTTCTTTATTCTTGTTTTAGATAAAAAACCACCAAAAGAATGGCCAGATAAAGGTCAAATCGTGTTTGAGAATTTTTTTCTACGTTATAGTTTAGACGTGGACCATGTTTTGAAAAATCTCAATATTGAAATTCAGCCATTGGAAAAAGTAACATTAACCAATACGTACTATTATCAATATTATTTTAATCGCTTTGAATTTTGTTACAATGAAAATTGTCTTTTAATTTAGATAGGAATTGTTGGTCGAACTGGTGCAGGTAAATCGTCGTTGATAGGAGCGTTATTTAGACTTTTTCTCAATGAGGGAAATATCACCATCGACGGTATAGAAATACATGAATTAGGATTACACGATTTACGTTCCAAAATTTCAATAATTCCTCAAGAACCAGTTTTGTTTTCGGGATCAATGAGAAAAAACCTAGATCCTTTAGACGAATACCCAGATCATGCGCTTTGGAATGCTTTAGAAGAAGTATATTTTCTCCTTTATAATAATTTTGAAATACAGTTTATTTTTTTATTTACTTAATATTACTATTACGAAGTAGTAAAACAAGTTTCGTAACGTTTTGTGGATTTATTCCTGTTTAAGGTGGAACTTAAAACCGTCGTAGAGTTTTTGCCCGACGGTCTGAACTCAAAAATGTCCGAAGGTGGGTCTAATTTCAGTGTTGGTCAAAGGCAATTAGTGTGTTTGGCTAGAGCTATATTACGTAGTAATAAACTCCTCGTGCTGGATGAAGCTACTGCCAATGTCGATTCACAGTAATTATTGATACAAATCATATTATAAAATCGATTGCAATAATGTTCTCGTTATACTCGTAAAGCTGTGTGCATTCGATTTTTGTTTTGTTTTCAGTACCGATGCTTTGATTCAAAATACGATTAGAAATAAATTTCGATCATGTACAGTGTTAACGATTGCTCACCGTTTGAACTCAGTTATGGATTCTGACAGAGTGCTTGTTATGGACGCTGGAACAATGGTCGAATTTGACCACCCTTATAACTTATTGAAAAATAAAGATGGGTTTTTGTACAAAATGGTAGAACAAACTGGAAACGAAACGTCTGATTTGTTACATAGTATAGCAGCTGAGGTATAGTACGATATTAAATTACACAGATTGTATAAATTGATTATTAATTCATTGCTCATAACTTGGTTTATGCATTATTTTTTTTTATAGAGCTATACGACCACGAAGAATCAACAGTAAGACGAATCGTCGATGATAGTTCATATTTATAATTATTATTGATTTTTTTAATTTTATTTATATATACCAAAAGAGCTTTATGAACATTGCCCACTGACACATCGAATTTACCACATGAGTCATCAATGCTAAAGTTCAGATGATTTTATACAAAAACCACATTCATGATTGTCAGTTATAAAATTAATTATTGTTTCTAGATATTTACATTTATGGCACTTTTGAATGTTTTGTAATGTATACCATAATAATATAACTTAAGCTTTTTATTACCTTTAGCGTCTTAATCATACATTTTTTTTAAACTAAAAATGTATAGTTACTTCAATTTTATTATTAACATTTCTGCATATTATTATTTTCCTTTTGTTTGTTTTAATAATATACGAGATTTATATTATAGTACTTAGTTTGATTACTTTAGGATGACAGTGAATTTAATTTATTATAAAACCTTAACAAATGATGTTTAAAAATGCTTCACTTAAAATTGTAATTAATGCATTGTAATATGCATTTAAAATTGTTAAATAATTTTAGAAATATATAATAATGAAGGTACCTTTCATTCTTATTGAAAATAAAAACATATCTCGTCAATATGAAGTGTAGAAAAGAAAACAATAATTTAGTTTGGTTCTTACAAAGTATCAAACAACACATAGATGTAGAGTACCTATGTTTGAAATAATAAATAATTCAGAAAAATGACAAAATGTTTGTAAAAAAAGGTAATTGACATAAATTGTTAAAAAATACAAAAGAAAAATTGTCCTTAAGTAAAGGAAAAACAATATCTAACTGTATACAGCTGTATGCGTCGAATGAACATCATATTTAATACAATATAGATTACAGTAGGTAAGTCACTTTAATGTATATTGTGTTTAAGTTGAATTCAATGATACATCACTATTCATTGCATACAAATAAATGATTCTGAGCAAAGACCGCTTAAAAAAGATAAGAAAAATGCCAGTTCAGATGGTGAGAAATATTACAGTATACCTAAAAATAACGTCTACGTAGTTAGTAAACGTTGTTTCTATAATCTGTAAAATATTTAACGACGCTGTAGCGGATCTATAGTTTTTTATGTACTATAGGTACTAATGTACTATACTATTTTCTGTACCTACCATACCGTGGTTTGCATTTAGATACCCCACTCTAGATCAAGACTAAAGACAACTATGGACATAAAATTATAGAGAAATAATATATTGCATTGTGCGTTCATTTGTATTTAAAAATCCATATAGTGCACTCGCACCGTAAATATTTAATTTTTTTAATATTTATTTCAAAATGGTATATATAAATATGTACACATATTATGCTACAAAACACTAAAATAACTTTTTTACTATACACATTTTTTTAATTGTACGATGTTTTAGAGTGCTGAAATTTATTTAACAAGACTTGAAGCAAACTGTTTGTTAGCTGAACCAGAGCGAACTCCTCCCCCAGAGATATCAAATTTTTATTGGAAAAATGATAATGAAGAAAAGTATAAGGTTTTCATTCCTACGCCAAATCGCTACGTTTATTATAATCTAGAAGAATACGTAGGAGACATAGAGATCAATGAAATCGACATAAGCGGGTTAGTATACATTATAATACTATATAAATATTTACTCTATATTACATATTATAAATATATATGTGTATTTATTATTTATATAATATATGTACCTATTTAATATTAATTATATGTTATAAATAACTAAATAATAATAATAATTATTATTAATAAAATAAAATAATGTAATATGTTATTATTTATTATTATAATAGTCGACTTCATGTTCAATTAAATTTTAAATTCAAAGACATAACAATTTGTTTGTGACAAAGTGTAGGTAAACCTAAACAAATGATTAATCCCTTATATTATAAACACGGCGCATCCGAGTTGGGTCCCGAGTACTAGGGATAAATCACAGGTACTACACTAGTTGGGTCCTGGATTTTTTTAGGTACTACACTAGTTGGGTCCAGGATATTTTTGGGTACCACACTAGTTGGGTCTGAGATTATTTTAAGTAAATATACAATCCATACGAAAAATGATATTGAACGATGGAGATGCACTCAGAGAACATGTAAGTCATTTTTTTAAATATTCCAACAATCAATTTATCAAAATTTATAAAAAACAAAATGAATCAAAAAAATGCAGGAATAATAAATCGATTTGATTTTGCAAAATTAATGTCTTAAAAAATTTTAAGAACACACGTGTGATTTCTTTAAACAATATTTTATTTATATTATACAATACCTATGTATTTTTTATATATGATTTATAACAATTTTAATATATTTTTCTTTGTTTAGTACCTGCATGTTATTGCCATTTATTATTCAAATAAAATTCTAATAATTTATATTTTTAATGGCAAATAAACTAAAAAAATAAATTGTAAAAAACATTTTTAACCATAACTTTGGTCTAAATAAACAGTCATAAGTGTTAAAAAGGGAAGGAAAATAAACTTATGTAGTACTCAAAAAAAAAAAAAATTAAGACCTCAACTATTGTTGTACGTGTGAAAATTCCGGACCCAACTAGTGTAGTACCTGCATAAATCCCGGACCCAACTAGTGTAGTACCTGCAAAAATCCCGGACCCAACTAGTATAGCATTTTTGAATTCGGGACCCAATTCGGATGCAGCCTATAAACATTTTGATATTATCATATAATATCCACTAACCTACACAGAAGTGCTTATATCAATAAATATAATATTACTTATTACTTATTTCAATAAAATAAAAAATATTTAAAAATGTATACATAATATTAGTTACTAATATAATAATAGCCAATAGGATATTATATTTTAACATTAAAAAATATTGCATAATAGGTATAATATGTTTATTGTATTTTAAATTTTAAATTTTATAACACATATTTAATTGGCAAGTTTTTGGGAATAATGTATTTTATACGATTGGACTAGGTAAACAAAACCATTTATTTACTATCATGACAACCGCAAGAAATCCTTCACTGACGTGGTTTTATCGAAATTTGAGTTTTGATTTGAGGAAACAAATGGTGTTATGATAATATAAACTTTAAATTTAAACGGATATTCAAAAGCTTGTTACGTATACCTATGTATTAATAAACTATGCACAGCTTAACGCACGTTTCTAATAGTATTTGACGATATAACTAATAACTAATAAGGCAATTAGTATATTATAACACGCGGAGGTCATTGCAAAAGCGTAGTATAAAAAAATTACCTAAACTATAAAAGTGTCGTCATACGTATCTCCCCGGGAAAGTCAACACTCATACGAAGGATACGAGGCTCTAACTCTGTCTCATAACCGAACTTGGCTACTACTACGACCACCCACTCCAGAGGACTCAATCATATAATATATACGAGCCCATGACAAGAACTAGTCAGACGGTTAGGGGCACACAAGACACTTAGATACAGGTTGTAACACCACTCACAGTTTTAGATTTTATATTAGAGTCGTAACACTGCTCTCTTCTCCACCATAAATTATAATATTGTAATTTTGTACTTGTTAAATAAACACTCATCATAACCTAGTACATCAAGTATTCATTTCTGCCAGTGCCGTATTTACCAGTAAACACTATAAGCTAGTGCTTAGGGCGGCAATTTCTCAAGGGCGGCAAATAATTTTTAATATTACATTTTTACTAAAATAAATGCAACTAATTATAAAATGTTTTTAGACCAACGGGATTGTGGTAATATTTTATATTTTATGTTTTTCAATTTCATAATCGTAGAGTTTATCGCTCTATTATATAGCATTGCTGCATTATTTGTAAATTTTTCGTTATCGTGTTGTAAACAAGTTTATACGAAGAATCGTCATAAAATAAGTTACTCATATAACGTGGGTTGACGATTGTGTGTTTATCTGTACCTAACGACAATAAAAAAAAACCCAATCATTAGTCAATGCAATCGCGAACGAGCTCATAGTGAGGCATGTTCTATAGTATTATAGAATATTTGATTTTTTAAATTTTTATTTGTAACATTTTTAATAAAACTATAGTAAAATGAGTGACGGTCGATCACGTTTAAGTGGCTAAAGTATAAAAAAATCGCGGAAGAATCAATTAAATCAATTAAATAACTTAGTGCAAAAAATCCCAAAAATAGATTCTTTTTTAAACCAACCATTTTTTTTGAGAGCAAGTATGGAAGGAGATAAACTAAATTCATTGAGTTTATTGGCAATTTAAATTGAACTATAGTGAACAAAATGGACTTCGATGCCATAATAGATTATTTTGCGACTCAAAAGTCGCGCAGAAAGCCGATGAGTACTAGACATTAACTATTTAATTTTGAATGTATTAACTATTTAAGTATTTATTACTACCATGTTTTTTATCATTATATTTTATATCATATTTTTTATAATTAAATTTTTAATATGAATGTATATTGTATATGTATGCATTTTTATAACAGCTGTATATTTTTATTTTTCATCATTAAAATTTTAAGTAATAAAGAAAAAACAATAATTGTATGATTTAATAACATTTTTTGGACTAGAAAAATATTTATATTAAAAGGCGGCAATTTATTTTATTTTATTTTCATACCATTATTTTTAATTTTATCTTTATTTTGCTCTTATTATTCATTTATGTTATATACAAAATCTCCTTAAAAACTCGCTATTGTTATTTATATATAGATAGGTAACTTCAAGGTACCTTATTATTATTATTTATTCATTTATTTTAATTAATTAATATTATTTATTTAATAATTTTAATTATATTCTTTTAGAGACTTACGTCTATCAATACAAGGAAACATCCTTACCTAGTGATAGACGTTGCAGTGTAATAATAAATATCAACTATGTACATATTATCTACAAAAACTGCTAAATAAACATTCATTATTATTATTATTATTATTATTATTATTATTATTATTATTATTTTGTGCTTAAGGCGGCACA